ATTTTAACAAAGAATTGTTTATCAGGTCACTGGTAAGAGCATTGTACCAGCATATGTGTAGTCTATCTAACTTTTGGGGAGGTTCCTTTGTTGCCTTTCCGATTTTATGAATCTACAGCTGAGAACAGATTATCCCACAGCTGCTATATGAAGCTAGAAAAATGTCCACGTGTATCTGCGAAATATTCAATCGGCTTCAAGCCGAAATAAAACATTAAGTATTTACATTTTTATTGCACTTCTTTACACAAGTCATAAATTCCAACAGATATTGCAAACATAAAAAAAACAATACTGTACATTTACCAGTAATCACAATGTAATACTATTTTATAACTATTCAAAAAGTCAAGCCATTTTCAGTTCATAAATAATGCAATTTGAAATAATTTTAACTGGTTTACAGTATGATTACGGAGCTTATCACTGTCTTAAAATTGATTATAGAACATCTGAACTTGTGGCTCGTGAACATTGTTCAACTTGAAATCATAGTTTCTTTCTCGCAACTTACTGTGGAGTGAATTATTTACACTACGGTTACGATGCCTGTCACTGTCTTAAAAGCTCTGATTTGCAAGTTTTGCCATTATGTGGAGAACCTTAAAGGCCACTCTTCGACATGTGTTTTGGCTGTACATTATTTAACAATTTTGCAGTATGTGTTTCTGTTCAGAAAATGTGTTTACGCCTCAAACCATAGCTGCCCGTTGATTATTAAACTGCCTGAAATCCGTCGTAAACCAAATATGCAAGTGATAAACACATTGTCCGTCGTACCATTTGCAGCGGCACACTACTGTATTAGTACTTACAAACCTTTTTTTATAAAATCAAATTTACATTATTTTATAGCAAAAATGGTCTTGGTAGATTACCTAATTTACATCGGGTTTCTTTCTCTACTTTTAATAAGAAACATTAATATTAGAAGTTATATTGTGTACAGGAAGTAAAAAAGTAACGCTTTAACATAGCTCGTGACATATCAATCAAGCTAACGATAACGAATTATTTTCACATAAATGAATGCGTGGATATTCAAAATAATACATATAATTTAGGTAAACTGCAAAAAACAAACAAACAAAAATACAGAGTGTATAAGTTACTAAGGCAGCAAAAAGGATCACAGAAAGTTTAAAAATCTATTTTTATCTGAAAGGAATATTGTAAGATTAAAAATCCTTTTACAGTCGTCTGGGCTTCAGTTTTTTAGTTGTTTTTTTTTTCTCGTCCACATTCTATGTTCAACTGTTTAAACAACAGTTTTTTTTATTAACGGTACCTGGCACTTACAATGTTCAACAAAAACTATTTTAATACGAAATATTAATATTACAAATTTTATTGTTTATAGTACATTAAGCTGTTTATGACAATACTAACAGCTTCTGTATTGAGTACAAAAAATTGCTTGTTCATACTGTCGTCACACTCATATAAAGCACGTTCTTGTAACAATATTTTTAGCTTTCAGTTTCTTTTTACCTCTCTTTGTCAACATCAAAACCAATGAACCTAACAATAATAATCATATATAGACTAATTAAAAGAATGATAAAACCTACATTAAAACCACATGTGAAAATAGTGTTATACATGTGTATCTAGTGGATATTCATGCGTTATTTTATTGTACTAGTATACTATATGAAGATCTACGCAAACCCTCGTAACGTCAAGTTAAACATATTACTAACATTTGTTATTAAATCATAGCCCAAAACGTTGCTGTCAATGCACATACAAAATAAGTAATGTTTGTGACCAGGATAACAAAATAAATACTTAAGCACTAATGAAGATGGGCCTAATATGACATAGTGATTAGGGTACTCGACTCGCAATCTGCGGGTCACGGGTTCGAATCCCTGTAACCAAATATGCTCGCCCTTTCAGACGCAGTGTCGTCACAATGTTATGGTAAATCCCACTGTTCGTTGGTAAAGGGTAGCCTAAGAGTTTGCGGTAGGTATTGCTGACTAGCTATCTTCCCTCAAATTTACCACTTCAAAATTAGGGACGGATAACGCAGATAACCTCGAGAAGCTTTCTACAAAATTCAACACAGAGAACACATAAACTACATAATGAAGACTTTATTGTATACATACAAATGAATCGTCTTCATAATCTTGTTTACAAAACTAGGAGTAGTTTTAAATCATTAATTTATCTTTAGCGAGTCACGATCTTTGAACATGGAACTATAGATCCTTTGCAGAAAATGTGAAATGAAATAAGAATAAAAAAAAAACATATTTCGTTCAGCTCATGAAATTGATGAATTGTGTTCTATTACTTGTCGCTTGGCTGACCTATATATTAAAAAAGCATAAAATCATGGCAGGCAGAACTACCTGTCAAATGATTTTAAAATGAAATATTAGATTTCGGCCACATTTCGTGATTGACGCCATATTTATTGTTCATTGAATCCTTATTCCCGATTTAGTTTTTCTTTGTTTGGTACAATATAAGAACCCCCTTTTATTACTTCTCTTTGTTGTCGTTGTTTTATTTGTTTGTTTGTTTTTAGTTTTATATCTCCTTGCAGAATTCTTGTTGCCGTGGGGACACGCGAGAATGTTGCCCTGGAGAAAGAACCTCATGATATCCTCTGAATCGTTTTGTTCGCTATCATTGAAAGTAATACTATTTCAGCCAGAAGATTAAAACTATAAATTCCCAGTGGTTGCTAAGTTAATCTTGATTCTGATATTGCTGAAAGGGCCCAAAGTGAAAAAAAACAACTAACTAAATTGAGATTTTCTCCAGTGTACAATACTGTCAAATCAGCGTAGCAAGCTATGTAGTATTATCTTTTAATGTTACTGTAAATTATATGTAAATAACAAATATACTAAATATAGAGATTCCAACAATGCGCGAAATCGTATCCAATGCGATGATGACCCAACCCTGTTTTCTACATCTCAGCCAAAAGGAGTTCAATGAATTAAAATTGTGCAACAGATATCTAAAAATACAATTGACTTTGTAGTGATATAGCTGTTATTAGCATCGAATTAATAGTGTGAATTATTCGTGTTTAAATATTGATTATGGAAAAACTTAAGTGCAAAGAAATTAAATAAAAGGAAATATATTAACATATATATTTTGCACTGGGAAAATTTTGATGATCATTGAAGCTCAAATGCTGGCATAAGTTGCTCCAAATTATTCAACAATACAAGTACTAGCTTTCTCAATGTTTAAATAAAGCATAATGCGAAATACTGTAAATAATAGTAACACAGTGCAACTATGTCAAACCAGAACCATCGTTACAAAATAATGTCAATCACCCTCTTCAGTTCATTGTTATCCAAACTATGTATCTGATAATCAGTCATATGATCTTAGATGCAAATGACTGGCTATTTAGTCTACGTCATATATATATATATATAGTGGTCTCACACAGTCTTGGCTCAAGTCTTCACTTTGAAGTGAGTCACACAGCTTAAATTGTTTTGTCCATGCTCCATGAATAGGCCTCTAAGAAGACATTTAGACGTTTCACTCATGTGACAAACACAGACAATTACAATAAAATGCGGTATGTTGGCAACGAATTTCGTTATGGGAAAGAGGAACTGCTTCCAAATCAATTTTATAGCCATTCAGACACCTGGACAAGATAGAATATCATTCACAACACAAGCAGACAACCGTTATACGTCGAGTTTGACTCGTCGTAATCGTAAGGTACGTGCTTTGAGACTGAATTAGATGTTTGCAGCCGCAATTGGTTGCTGCGTCAGTGTAGTGACGGTTAAAAACAGACTTCTCAAGGTCGATCTTTATGCGAAACATTCAAGATGAGATTTAATCCTTTCAGAACAAGGCACACCAATAGCTCGTCTGCAGTGATGCCACAATCACGGCTGGTGAATCAAAGACGTGTAAGCAATGTTCTTTTCATAAATGAATCGAGTTTCACTTTGAAGCCGGATAATAGATGTATACCCATTAGCTGAGAATCTGAAATCAGATCGAATACCATTTTCTTACAGATAAGTGACGCATATAACAGTGGTGAAAATATAGTATGGGCTGGACAAGGCATTGGTAGATGAACTAACCTATATATCCTGCGGAATGGAACCATTATTGCCAAATATTGTAGGAACCACATCGTGCGATCCATTGGGGTACAACTTGTTGATACAATTAATCCCGACTTTAGGCTAATATATGATAATATCTTCTAAGCTAGACTACACATTTCTTAAATAATAAGATATTAACTGAATGGTCTGCGCATTCAGCAGTGTTCAATTTAATCGAGAACGTATGGTAAACCCTTGGGGGACGAGTCACATTCGTCTAGTTTCTCGGAACGTCAAAGGTGTCCTGGAAAGAGATTTATCAGAACAGTAGTCAAGGGATGTCAGCCCGTCTTTGCTATTCGTGGTGACCATACTCCATAGTGAAGTAAATGTTATGGACTTTAATGATGTAATAGCCACCTCTATCAAGTGTTCATCTATGAACGTAGGTTGATTAATCAGAAATTGACATTTCAGATTACATGACGAATCACCAGCTGCCAAATTTGTACAAAAGTAAAATAGGACGATTGACATTATATTATCACAGTGATTCTGTCTTGTCATAGCCGTTTTGTTATATATTACAGTTATACCCTGATTGTTTTATGAAGTTTGTATTAAGCCATGGAGTCTCAATTGTCGGAGTTTATTTCTGATTATATTTTCAAGACTTGATACGTTTCACATCCATTTTGTTGTACTGCATGTATTTTATTTGCTGACGTAGTTGATGTTGATATTCCATAACGTAAAGTCCAAATAAGATTTGTATATCTATAAGCCAATACTCAAGTAACATAATGTGTGTGTGTGTGTGTTACAAATAAATACAACTTATTAAGACAGAAAATCTGAGGTAATATTGTATGTTTGCTAAATGAAAGTGTTTGGAATTAACATATTACACATTATCTATATCCTCCTACGTTTTTACAGCTGACTCCAGTTTTCTGCTGGCTAATGCCCAGATTGTGGACTATCCTATTGTCTATTGCTCGGACACCTTCTGTAAAATAGCGGGCTACAACCGGGCCGAGGTAATGCAGAAGTCGTGTCGATGTAGTTTCATGTATGGCGAGCTGACAGACAAAGCCACCATTGCCAAGATTGAACAATGCCTTGAAAGTCAGGCCATAGATCAGTTTGAAATTCTCCTTTACAAGAAGAACCGTGAGTGTATTTGTCATTGTAAAAAAAATCGTATTTAATAATAAAACAAAAATACGCTGTTGCCTATTTCCTGTTGCTACGCATGTATATAGCGAATTTATAAAATAAGTTTGTATTTCTATAGTCCAGCTATTTGTTAACATATTTATTCCAGTATTTTGTTTCCATTTTCTACACTATTATTAAATCGAAAGCTTTATAAGTCTTCAGTTACGGTAGAATTACTATCAGGCAGATAAAGATACTCTTATGGCAAGTGATTGGTTATAGACTAACTTTTATGGAATTTTGGATTTGATATTAAACATAATTTTCCTTAACTAAGTCTTTTATGAGAACAAAATCATCTGTCCTAAAGAATAATTTGGCAGAGAGTAATTTAATCTACTAGGTATTATCTTTTTAGTATATAAAAGAAAACGGCACCTGAACGCTAAAAAAGAAACATTTTTTTTTTACTGAATATGAACAACTTTTAGAAATTAATGCTACAACTAAATCCCTGGTGGCAGTTCAAGAATAAAAAATTTAAATCTTGAAAATCTGAGATAAAAAGTAACGATTGAAACATAAAGTCTGACAGATCATAGAGTGAAGACATCTCTATAGCCGGTGTTCCTTAAGCATTCATGTTGTTTATAGTTTTCTTTAAGTCAGAGGTATTGTCGTCCCTTTTAAATAACTTTTTATCTATGTACAAACAACAACCTATTGCGCTACAATAATTTCGTAGTTCCCAAACACCTTGTGATATTTTTTCATTAACTTGAAATAAAGTTAATACATGCACTAATCATTTCTCTGAAGTTGAACACTTACACGCACACTCTACAATTCTCTAATTTAAACACTGTTGATGTTAACTCACACTTTTCAATTATATAATTTAAACACTGTTAATATTAACTCGCATTGTACAGTTCGCTAAATAAACAGTTAACTTACACGCACATTACATGCTAGTGTTCCCTAAAAACTATTAACGTTCACTCATATGTATAGTTCTCTAAAACACCATAAATGTTCACTCAAATGTATGGTTCTCTAAAACACAATTAATGTTCACTCACATATATAGTTCTCTAAAACACAATAAATGTTAACTCACCTATATAGTTTTCTAAAACACAATAAATGTTCACTCATATGTATGGTTCTCTAAAACACAATTAATGTTCACCAATCATATAGTTTTCTAAAACACACAATTAATGTTCACCAATTATATAGTTTTCTAAAACACAATTAATGTTCACTCTCATCTATAGTTCTCTAAAACACAATTAATGTTCACCAATCATATAGTTTTCTAAAACACACAATTAATGTTCACCAATTATATAGTTTTCTAAAACACAATTAATGTTCACTCTCATCTATAGTTCTCTAAAACACAATAAATGTTCACTCTCATCTATAGTTCTCTAAAACACAATAAATGTTCACTCACATATATAGTTCTCTAAAACACAATAAATGTTCACTCACATATATAGTTCTCTAAAACACAATAAATGTGCATTCACATATATAGTTTTCTAAAACACAATTAATATTCCCTCAGGTATATAGATCTCTAAAACACCATAAATGTTCACTCATATGTATGGTTCTCTTAAACACAACAAATGTTCACTCATATATATAGTTCTCTAAAACACAATAAATATTCACTCATATATATGGTTCTCTAAAACACAATAAATGTTCACTCACATATATACTTTTCTAAAACACAATAAATGTTCATATATATATATATATATATGGTTCTCTAAAACACAGTTAATGTTTCCTCACGTGTAGAGTTCTCTAAATCCGACATGTTAAACAGAAACGGCAACATGAACAATACTCAGTTTACTGCACGTATTTGAACATTTATGAAGTTGTTGTTATGTGGTTTCACTTCAGCGTTGTTTTAATGTACAAATATTTATTTCTTGTTTTCACTAGTTCTTAAATTCAGTTTTTGTGTGATTACATTTTTAACATTAAAACTCTCAAAGTCGACTTTGTCTTCGAGAAATTTTACTTTCCGTTCATTACCTCAAGAGTTTACTAAGAAGCTTATTAGGGAAAGGACTTAGAAAATTATATTATGCATACTGTCGACTGCAAGATAAGAAACCAAAACAGGATAGGCTCAGAAGTTTACATTACCTCAGTTCGTGCCAGCCGTTTTTCTTAATATGCTGACCCATTGCCTCGCCAGTTTTTTTCTGCCATTTACGTTTCGCTGTTGACGCCCGAGCTCTAAGACTTAGCACACTGTCATGCACAACCAAGTCACCCATCATTTTCACTATTTCCAACTCAATTTCTAGGACTCAGATTAACCCAGCGATGCCAAAAGCACTTTTCTTTCGAATGCAAAGCATCCGTCACTTTTCGTGCAGAAATAAATCACCACATTGATTATTGTGGGGTTTGTCAGAGTTTTCCTCTGTAATAACGTGACTACAGCCACTTGTGAGGAATTAACTTAGAGCTATTAACTTTGCATCTTCTGCATTACTGGAATGTCTAAATTTTCATTGCATTTCTTTAGTTATTTTGAATGTAATCATCATTCAGCTGAAAAGGCCAATCTGAAAATAATTATATGTTTGTACTATTACTTCAAATGTTATATATTTCCACCCACTCCAAAGGTGCAAACTACATAAACTCCATTTCGAAAAAAAAATATATTCTCGGTGCATGTATACGTTATAATGAAAGCTTATAAAGTTAATTATTGTTGTTGTTTGTTATTGAGCACAAAGCTACACAAACGGCTATCTGTGCTCTGCCTACCACAGGTATCGACACCCGGTTTCTAGCAGTATAAGTCCGCAGATGTACCACTGTACCGCTGGAAGCTATAACGTTAATAAATCGGGGTAGATAGCCCATTGTGTTACTTTAGGCTTAACAACAATAGCAACAAAAAAGGCACATACAAAAACAACAATAAAATACGGTGCATGTGTATGAAATTTGCTATTTATAATATTTTGTTTGTAGTTGACAAATGATTTGCGATTAGTTTTAGAAAATATATTATTATTCTACAGGAAAAATGAAAGTAATTTCCATAGAATAAAGAAAACAGCTGGTTGGTTGTATATAGTTTGCTCGGCATATTGTCATGTGCAGAGATCAAAGTAAACTTAACTTCTCTATATATTTTTTCATTCATCAAAGTAGTTGCTAAGATTTATAATAGAAATGCAAGATTTTCACTCAGTTTAATACATCTAGTTAAATGCAAAACAAGTTTATCTCACTTGTTTTCAACATAAATATTATTCAACATTTTTATTAATAATAAAACATTTCGCAAACCAAGAAACAAATAACGTATAAAGAAAAGGTGAAGTTGATAAAAAAAAAATGTTTGTTTATGTTGACGTCCAGTGGCCTAACGGAAAGTCTGAGAACTAATAACGCTAAAAGTCGGGTTTCGATAGTCGCAGTTGGCAGAACACAGATAGCCATTGTGTTGCTTTGTTGCTTAACAGTAAACAATCAAACCCATAACGTTATTTACATTGATAAAGCCAGTCTCCGAATAAATAAAATATCACAGCAAAACAATGTATTAAATGCGTTTGACGAGAAAAGTGTTAATGTCTGAAAGAGAATTTGTCTCTAAAATCAATTACACTGTTTTCTATTGATCTTTGTTAATTAATTGAATTTGTTTTACTACGTTTTTGACTTTCCCTATTATCCGTCATAAGATGACATTTTTAAAGTGGTTGGAATAGATCGATGATATCTACCACGTGCAGCCAATGGGCGAGGCACTTTTGACTGACAAAATTATTTATAGAGTATTTTATTATACTGTATTGAAGAAGTCTGCCACCTATGAACTAAATGAGTAAGATAGCTTTGTTATAACACTTCCTTTATTTACCAAACACGTAGAGTAGAATGTGATTATTAAACTTATAGATTTTTTACACAATAGGTGCCGCCACAGGAAAGAATTCACTGTGCATATGTCTATATAAAACCAGAAACGTTCATATCAAATTGTTTAATGAAAAAAAATAGTTTGCTCAAAATAATTTTGGTTGTAACTATTCCGATGTTTTGTTTTGCTTGGTTTCGTAGATAATCACACTCTTCAATTAAAAATCACATTTTTGTTGACTGATGAGCAACTATAATTTTGCAAAAGCGATTCTTTCAAATAGCCCTCCCCCCTCTCTCTCTCCGATGGTTCAGGGGTGAGGCTGAGAACTTATAACTCTAAAAATCAGGTTTCGGAACTTGCAGTAGTCACAACACAATTAGCCTTTTTACACATTTCAATTCTCATTCTGTATTTATAAATATACAAATTAGAGGTATTTATTTTGAGTGATAATACGTTTCAATGCCTTAAAATGTGCTACAACAAATTATAGGTATTTCCTTTTATTTCTTATTTAAAGTTTGTGGGAAATTTGGATGTTCACAACATTAAGTAAAATAAAAACTTTGTTGCTCCCAAAGTTATGTTTTTAAAATAGAATTCTTTATTTTCCAAAAAAAAAACAACAACAATAAAAAGAGCAAGAAACATTGTGACATGTAGCTCTTGGCAAGATTAATGTTTTTAATGCAGTGTTTTAGAGCAAAATATTACCATTGTATAACAAAATGACTCAGCAATTTTTCTACGCAATGCCATATACACCTGTGACATTTTGATGGAACACCCTTTGGTTTAAGTTTCTGTTGAAGTAAAGTGAAAATAGCTACCACAAACGTAATAAAATCTTCAAAGCGACAAAGAAATAATTATTTTGAAGTTACCTTTAATCTACCATCTTTTATAAATCACATCCGAATAAAAATAAGATCTGCTATTAAATTAACTACCGTTTTCTGCACTTCCCTTGACCAAGAAAAGTTTTCGGGGGAGGGCGGGGGAAGAGGCCGGTGAGCAAGTAATTTAATGATTTGTGTTGCAAGTGGCTTGATAATATTTGCTATTCGCAAAATAATATCGAGGTGTCTTC